ACATGTTTTACATGGACATATATTTTTAATTCTCTTGGGTACAGTAGCTAAAAGTGAAATCTCTCGGTCATGTTGTGTCTCTATTTTTAATTGTTTGAGAAATTGTCACACAGTTTTCCAAAGTGAAGGTACCATTTTACATTTCCACCAGCAGTATAAGAAAGTTTCAATTTCTCCACGTTATTATCAACATTTATTACATGATTTATTATGCTAGCCATATTAGTGAGTATAGTGGTATCTCAGTATGTTCTTTATTTTCATTTCCTGATGACTGATGTCATAAAGAATTTTTAATATATTTGTTAACCAACTGTACATTTTCTTGGAAATTTTCTATTCAGGTTCTTTGCGCATTTAAAAAAAATTTAGTTACTTTTATTATTGAATTGTATAGCTCTTTATGTATTCTGAATACCAGAGTCTTATTGCAGGGGTTCCCAAAGCCAGGGCCACAGAACAAGGAGGAGGTGAGTGGCAGACAAGCAAATGAAACCTCATCTGTATTTACAGACATTCTCCATTGCTCACTTTACCACCTGAGCTCCTCCTCCTGTCAGATCAGTGGCAACTTTTGTTATAGGAGCATGAACTCTACTAAGAACTGATCATGCAAGGGATCTAGGTTGCATGCTCCTTATGAGTATCCAATGCTTGATGATCTGAGGTGGAGCTGAGGCAGAGCTGCTAGTGCTGGGGAGTGGCTGTAAATACAGATTAACATAGCAGAGAACTTTCACTGCCTTAACTTAAAATGGGACTATATTTCAATAAGCCCATAATAAACTGCAAATATTGTAAATAAAAAATACACTTAGCATACTTAACTTATCAAACACCATAGTTTACAGCAGAATACACTGTTATATATCGGTTGTTTACCTTCATGATTATAGGATTGACTGAAAGCTGTGGCTCACTGCCATGTCTCAGCATCTCAGGAGATTACCATACTTCATATTGCTAATCTGGAAAAAGATTCCAATTCAAATTTTAAAGTATGGATCTGGGCATAGTGGCACATGCCTGTAATCCCAGCACTTGGGAAGCTGAGGCAAGAAGATCTCTGTGAGTTTGAGGCCAGCCTGGGGGCTTTATAGTGAGTTCAAGACCGGCCTGAACAAGACCCTGTCTCAAAAAGAAAAAATTCAAAGCATGATTTATGCTGAACACATACCACTTTCATTGTATTGTAAACTTAAACAATTCTGAGTTCAACCATCATAATTGAAAAACTGTCTGTATTCTCAAAGACGACAAAGGCTTCTCTATGATTGTTCTTTTCTTTCTGAGTCTCTTCAGTATTTCCTTTGATGTACATATCAACCAGTAATTTCTTCAAAGCTGCCTGGACTTTTTTTCTTTCATGCAACTCAAGTCTTTCCAGTCTCTCCCCATTATCCAATTCTACAGCCATTTCTACATTTTAGGTATTCGTTACAATAGCACCTTATTTCACAGTTCCAAAATTTTTATCATTTTCTAAAGCCTCTATAACAACTAAGTGGGTTAAAAACCAAAAATTTATTGTTTCATAGTCTCGGAGGCTAATAGTTCAAGATTAAAGTGTAAGTGAGTTTGATTTTTTCTAAAGGTTATATCCAGTGACTAACTCACAGGTTCTTGTGGTGTGCTAAGAATTTCTAACTTCTAATAAACTCCAATGAATTGATTTATTATGGTTTTGGTGCAGTGAAAGTTCTCTGCTATGTTAATCTGTATTTACAGCCACTCCCCAGCACTAGCAGCTCTGCCTCAGCTCCACCTCAGATCATCAAGCATTGGATACTCATAAGGAGCATGCAACCTAGATCCCTTGCATGATCAGTTCTTAGTAGAGTTCATGCTCCTATAACAAAAGTTGCCACTGATCTGACAGGAGGAGGAGCTCAGGTGGTAAAGTGAGCAATGGAGAATGTCTGTAAATACAGATGAGGTTTCATTTGCTTGTCTGCCACTCACCTCCTCCTTGTTCTGTGGCCCTGGCTTTGGGAACCCCTGCAATAAGACTCTGGTATTCAGAATACATAAAGAGCTATACAATTCAATAATAAAAGTAACTAAATTTTTTTTAAATGCGCAAAGAACCTGAATAGAAAATTTCCAAGAAAATGTACAGTTGGTTAACAAATATATTAAAAATTCTTTATGACATCAGTCATCAGGAAATGAAAATAAAGAACATACTGAGATACCACTATACTCACTAATATGGCTAGCATAATAAATCATGTAATAAATGTTGATAATAACGTGGAGAAATTGAAACTTTCTTATACTGCTGGTGGAAATGTAAAATGGTACCTTCACTTTGGAAAACTGTGTGACAATTTCTCAAACAATTAAAAATAGAGACACAACATGACCGAGAGATTTCACTTTTAGCTACTGTACCCAAGAGAATTAAAAATATATGTCCATGTAAAACATGTCCATAAATCTTTATGGAGACATTACTCATAAAAATGATTGACACAATCTGAATAACAATCAATCGATGAATGAATGAATAAGATGTACTACATTCACACAATGGAATATTATTCACTCATTATAAATGGAATATTCAATGGAGTATTGATATATGGTACACATTGAGGAACCCTAAAATATTATGCTAAATGAAAGAAGCCAGTCACAAAAGACTACAATGATATGGTTACTAAGAGGATGCTCTCAGAAATAATTGGTACCTCAATTTGTCAGTATTATTAATAAATATGTTTGTTTTCTTTGACCCAGAAATTTCACTTACATGCATTTAACCTTCAAGTATGTTAGTTTTTTTTTTTCAGTACCGGGATCGAACTCAGGACCTTGCACTTGTAAGGCAGGCAGCAGAACCACTGAGCTAAATCCCCGGCCCTAACTATGTTAGTCTTTGAACATTAACTGAGTATTGTTTTTTAACTATGACCAAATATTAAGTAAATAAAGAAAACATAATTCAATAGCAGAAAACAATAACTAGTTTAAAAAATGGGCAAAACACTTGCATATCAGTTTCTCCAAAGAAGACATATAAATGGCCAGTGGGTACATGAAAGATTCTCAACATCACTAACCAGCAGGGAAATGCAAATCCAAGCTTTATAGTGGTATCAGCTCACATCTGTTAGAATGATTATTATTTTAGAAACACTCCCCGAAAAAGATAGCAAATATTGGTGAGGACGTAGGAAAATTGGATTCTTTGTGCAATGTTGGTGGAAAAGGGAAATGGTGCAGATGCCGTGGACACCACAATGGAGGTTCCTTGAAAAAATAAAACTAGTACTTCCATATGATCTAGTATTCACCATTCTGGGAATTTTTCTAAAAGAATGGAGGAGAAAGATACTTAGTATCGTTCATTCTTCTGAGTGTTTGTCCAAAATATTCAAAAAGATATTTACATTTCCAAATTCATTGCAGAATTGTTCAAAACAGCCGATTTGAGGAAATAACCTAAATGTCCATTGACAAACGATGGGTAAAGGAAATGTGATATATATATGTATATATTTTTTTCCTTCCACCTCTAAAACATGAAATCCTGCAATATTTGACAACATGAATGAATCTTGAGGCCATTAAATTAAGTGTAATAAACTAGAGATGAGTCCATCAAACATAAGCATGATTTGTGGGGTTGGGGACCTGGCCAGGTGTAAATGATTAAATGGAATGATTGGACTGTGGGACAGTAGCATATAGGGTTTATGAGGACTGAATGGGTAAAGCATGAGGCAAAAGCATACAAATAATTAAACCGTGCAAAAGGCACACAGGCTCTGTGAGAATAAATAATTAAACCACAGGCTGTAAAGCACACAGGCTGTGTGAGAATCAAATGGTTAAACAACAGAAAGTTTAGATTAATAAAATATGTTGTCTGGCCATGTCCTTCCCCCTTTCTTCAAGAAAAACTGCTTAGGTTTGAGACAACTCTTGGCCCAAACTTCTTTTTCTCCTACACTGATACTCTACATAAAAGCCAGAGAGTTCTTGACTTTGTGGCTTTTTCTTCTCCCAGTGTCTCCCTAATGGCTGGGCCCTCTCAGTTGAGAAATAGCCTCCTCTGGGCCTCTTGGTAGATTAAACTAATTTATCATCTCTGGGTAATCTTTTCATTCTCTATGCCTCTCTCATTCGCATACTGTGACATGTGGGTAGTATCTGTATATATATTATACATATCTTCTTTTATACTTCAAATAATCTCTAGCTTATCACTAATAGCTATTCAATGCAAATGGTGTTATACTGCGTAGCTTTTGACAAGGAATGTGACCAAATAGAAAGCCTATGTCCCAACACAAATTTTTTTCAGAATATTTTCTATCCACATTTGGTTTAAAGCATGGATGCATAGCCCACAGATATGAGTTCTGACTGTATGTAATTTGGTATAATCTGGATGTTGGAATTTCGGTTAATTTAAATTTAACCATATTTTGTTACAGTAATTTGTCTGCATCTATTTTTTTTCTAAAATTTATATATAGTCTCATTTTGTGAATTAAATAGCCTCCATTCATGCTTCATGTATCCTATAGCTTCTTACCTTGGCATACGTTATTCATTGTTTTACTGGAACATTGTATTTATTGAGAGCATAATATGAGGCAGGTATTGAATTAGTCACTTGACTAAGGTAGCAACGTAATAAAAGTCACAGAGGTTCTCTTGAAACTTGTAGTGTGGTGAAATTAAAAATCCTTCTTCAATTACACTTGTCATAAATGATACAAAGGAAAAAACAAAATCCTGCAGATAGAAAGATCACGACTCCTCAATTGAGAGAGGATAGAAGGGAGAATTTCCTAATGAAAAGGCATTAATACTGGGCCCCAGAGGAAGGAATGGTTTGATTAAATTAGGATATTTTTAGGTAGAGAAAAGATGCTTTGTAGAAATCCAAAGTAGAAAGAGGTGTGATGTGCTGAAGGAATGCTAATAAGAGAGTAAATAAAAGGAAAAAGTGTGAAAGAGACTCGAGCAGAAGGCAGTGAACCTACTTCTGTATATCCTTGTCCTGTTATCTGTGTTGTTCATCTCTGTTCCTTCCCCTGGAACAACAAAATAAACAGAACTTGAGGCCAGAAATAATGTCATGTTCACCAAGGATCTCTTGAAGAAGCAGAAGATTATAATGTAGTTAATTCCCAATATATGCATCTAAGTAACAATTACACTTATCTTTGGTAGACAAGGAAGTGAGGTACATTTTGAGATTTGAAAAGTTGTGAAAAAATGAACTAAAAGGAGAGCAAAAGGAAAGAATGTTAGTTGAGAGAAAATGTCCCTGTGATCTCATGATTATTGACTAGGTATCCAGATCTTTCTCCACAGAAAATCCTACAGTTCTTACCACACTAGAACTTCATCCACAGTAATATACATTTTGAAATCCCCAGAAAAGCAGGAACCACTGTCTCACAAGCGTAGAAAGACAGATTAGTCATCCTCTCTGGGGACTGAACTACAAGATGCTGTGAAAAGCTAAAAAAATTGAAAGATAATAACAAAAGCATGAGTTTGAGTCACTTAGAACATTGATTAGTACCAACTGCGATAGCTCTCTCCCTCATTTGCTCTCTTCCCAGGGAAAGAAAAGTTCTGAGGCAATTTGAGACTCCACCCAATTTTCATAGCTTTCCATTTCATTAGGCAGAGAAACTACAGTTTTCTTCTCACAAATATTTCATTTAAAATGAAGAAGAAAGCCAGAGTTGAACTCCTTTGATCTTCTGTTGTGTGTCCAAGGCTGAAAGAATCCATCATTATTACTTTCATATCCAGTAGACTTATGCATGGGTCCTTAGAAACCAGAACTTCTTAAATGAGGGTCAAATGGGAAGGGTAGACCACTCAATAACTTATTTTCTGGTTCATAGTGGCAGTGCCACAAGAAGATTTGGACAAAGGCATATATCATTGCTAGTACTTTACTGTACCTCATGATAAGAAGATCTGCTATGAAGTTTCTTGTAATTTCCTTAGTATATGATACTTTTAAAGTTATTAATAGCAAACATATCTTGAACATAATAGAAGCATAAACTCGTGAATCCTTCCTAATACATCTGTAAATGAATTTTGCCCTAGTTGATCTCTTGCCTATGACTAAGAGTATTACTTCAGTGACAGCATTTCTTGCCTTTCTGCCTTTAAAAAAAACCCAAAAATAAAAACAAACAGGAAGTGAGTCATGGACTCATAACAATGCAATAGTAAGGCTTTCAAATTCTGAAAGAACACTAAAGCTCTAGAAAGTTTGAGGATCTGATATATACTTTTGTGCAATTTTTAAATGTCAAACTGATTAGATGTACTGGAGAATTGAATTGAATCCCACAGTGTTCAATATATGGAACCAATCAGCAAATGGAAAAACAAGTCAGGAAAAATCAAGGAGTTTACATCATAGTTTAGTACAAACTTCAATTGGTTTTTTTATGATACATAGAGCCAGTCTTAAGGGACACTGTAGAGAGGGAGTTTAGGGAGATGAGAAAGGATCCCAATCTGGAATCCAGAGAGAGACACACACGGCAGGAATGACCATGACCCATAAATCTTTACTTTTTATTAAAAAAAAATGTGGTGTTATACCTTCTGACTTCTGCTGTTATACCAGCAGAAAAAATACACAAATTACTGACTCAAATAACAAAAGCCTTAAAAATGGTCCCAAATCCATACTCTGCACTAGATGTTCACTAGATGGACCAAATAAATGGAAAACATTGTGTAATTTTCTTGACTCTTAGACAGTGGCCCAAGCTCACAAGTGGTGCTAGGGTCTACCTGGATCAGCCTGGGACCCAAGCCCATGGAGGATGGCCCACTGACCTGGTGTTATGCTGGTTCTGAAGTCCACATAGACAGTTTTGAGTCCTGTGCCCACAGGGGCTTGGCTGGGAGACTGGGTCTGTAGGGTGCTCTTAGAAGATCAGTTTGAAAGGGAGCATAACATCAGAGTCTACTTGGATGGGTCTGGACCCTAAGTCTGTTGCAAAGGCCCTGAATCATAGGTCCAGTGAAGCCTAAACCTAGGGGTAGACTAATTCTGAAGTAGGGATAGAGCATGTAGCAGTGGGGGCCAGTCTAGATCCTGGGATAATGGGTACTAGTCTGGTGCTGATAGACAAGCAAACTTATCAAGATCCTGGGACCAGGGAGCCCCAGGACCTGAAAACTGTCCCAGCCTAAAAACTGAGTTCACAAAGATCACCCTGGAACCTGGGTCCATGGAGACCAACCCAGGCCTGAGGTCTGCTGGGATGGGGCTAGACCCTGGGTCTTTGGGAGTTGACCTGCATTCTGTGCTTAGTGGACCACAGGGTTGTAGTGGTAGGTGGACAATAGCCTTTTGCCTATATCTGATGCCCTGTGTACTGATGTATTGCTGGGGTGGGTCTAAAGCCTGGAGAATTTGTGGGCCAATCTGGATCTAGGCTGCTCTGAAACCTGGTATGGGTTTGAAGCATGGGGTTACTGTATCTGACCTACATGGAGAAGACCTAGAGCCTACATCTGCAGAATGTGGGGGGGAATGTGGGAGTCATGCCATCCAAAGCCTGGAGCTTCTGGGACTTTTCTGAGCCTGGGCTGGGTCTGGAGTCTGAGTCTCTGTGAGGTCACTTGAGAATGGAATGGGCCAAAATTCTGGGGGTCTGCCTGGTAGTAAGGGAACCTGGAAACTGACTCTTCTGAGCAGGCCTGGAAGATGAAATTGTAGAGTGCATCCTGTTGCTGGGGTTGGCCTGGATGTTAGGCTATGGAGATGGCATGGAGCTTGGGCTGCGGGCAACTTATGGGTGATGGGTTTTGTTGGCATAGGCCTGGTAATTAAGATTTGAATTAAAGGCAGGGCTCATATTCTTCTTCCCTCAAGTGGAGGGTACCTTACTCTATGCAGTGCTTTATAGGAGAAGAGTGATGTGAGGTAATATAAAACAGCCCTTCTTGTCACCTTAGCCACAGAGGTCCCCAAAGTTAAGATGGAGAACTTTAATTCACCCCACTCACGGGGCAGGTTGTAGGTTTGCTGACTTAACACAGAAAAAGAATTTTCAGATTGCATCAGTAAAAAGCATGAAAATATTTATAGGAAGAATTTTAAAAGTACTCACTCAAAGAAATAGAGTGGGAGCCCTCAGAAGGGAATGATGGGTGTCTTAAACAGATGTGATAATGGGGATTTGGGAGTTTCTCTATAATGGGTTATCTGGGATGTGTTTTCTAGTGGCTTTTGGGTTTTCCCATTTGCCTATTAGGTGGGCTATGTTAAAATGCAAAGGATTTACAAGTATTAGAGGCTGAGATACAGCCCTCTTAATAGGCTTCCTGAAGATGGGGGTTGGTGGGAGGGAGCACAATACAATTTACCGGTGAAAGGTACAAGCCCCAGCTCAGTTTAGTATGTTTAAGGCCCTGAGGAATTTCTTCTGGAAGGGAAAAAAGCTTGAATAACTTTTATGTCTTGAAATTGAAATTTTTCTTAGAAATTTTAACATCACAATTTTTTGTTGTTTCATTTCTACTTATATTCATTTGTCCTATCCTACCTCATTCTGATCCTGTTCAGTGAATCTTTTCTCATTTGTGTGTTACTCCTGGGTGCTGGGAATATAGTTTTATGTGTGTATAATTATTCAAATTGATGTTTCCTCCTGGGGACAAGTGCTGAAAAGTCTCATTTTTGATGTCTTGCTCTTATTCACACTTTCTACATCAAGTTTTCAATATTTCACTAATCTTGTGTCTTTGACACCATCACTTTTTCTTGATGTTTTAATGTGATCTTTTATCAGATGGTGCTAGGTCTAATTTGTTAGTATTTTATTAGGCATTTTGTTTTAACCTTTAAAGGAATGTTAGTTATTTTTTTTCTTGTAATACTTTATTTAAGTTTGTTGTGAGGGAAATCATTAATGTATTTCTATCCTTTTTTTTTTAAACAAATACTGTATGTTAGATTTTTTTTTGACAGAATTCACTAATGAAATGATCTAGATAAGGAATTACTTTTATGGAAATGTATTTTCTAATTTCTCTTGGGAGTTTTTGTTTGATCTATGAATTATTTTAAAATACATCAGATAATTTTTAAGTATTTGGAGATTTTCTACTATTGTGAAAGTTTTCTGATTTACTCCTGTATGGTCATAAAACATATTCTGTAAGATTTCAGCCTCTTGAATTTTACTGAACCTTATACTACACCAACACAGCTCTTTGAGAAACATGCGGTTCAACATGTCATGCTTTGCCATTTATAGTTAAAGCAACAGACTCAGTGTAATATAATATATTAATATTCATTGGTTAGGTTTCAAACCTAAAGCAATCTCATAAGCTGCAATGACATTTTAAAATTACACGTTGTGTACCGTCCTTCTAATATCTGGCCATCTGGCCATGTATTTTCATAGTGAGACACAAAACCTCCTTGGGTGCCATGACCTACATCAATGATATCAGAAGGGGGGAATTCCCTACAGACTCTCTTTCCTTGCCATGAGACCTGATAATTTTTTTCATAAGTTTCTTATATAATTAAGCCCCCTGAGGGAATACTGACCACATGAAAGGAATAAGGAAGATATTTTTGAGATATTGACATTCTAGAGGAATCTCTAAGAAAAATGTCCATTAGTTTCATAATAGCCATAGTTCCTGAACCTCAGGAGTAACTTGTGTGTGTACAAAAATGTATCTAAATTCACATTTGGTGCAGATGTCTTTGTGACACTGCCCGCCTTCTTACTTTCTTTTCCATTAAGTTTATTGGTACATTTTAGGCATACAATACACTTACATTCATCTTTGGGATCTTGTACCCTTACATGATGTATCTTGATTCTTAATTTTTCCCCATTCCCCCCCTTCAACCCCTCCACCCCTCCCTCTTTGTAAAGACTTTGTTTCCATTTTTTCCTTTTCTCATATTTTTTCCCTTTCCTTCTCTCCTTTCCCCTACCACTCCCACTTCCCCTACCCCTTTAGACCTTTTCTTCCTATTTCATATTACCAATTATATATTTTGATCCTTATTTACACTTTTAGTGTCTCAAACCAGAGAAACTACTCGGTATTTACACATGTCCTATTTATTTCACTTAAGAGTATGGCCTCAGTGTGCATCCACTTAGCTATAAATGTCTCTAGTTTCTCATTCTTTAGGCTGAGTAGTTCTCCATTTTATATTAAAAAACATGTCTTCTTTATCCAATCTCTAGTTGCTGGGCACTTGGGTTATTTCCAAGCTTTAGCTATTACAAACTGTTAGATCTTTAATCCACTTCAATTTTAGTTTGGTACATGATGAAAGTTACAGGTCTAGTTTCAATCCTTGGCAGGTTGAAAATCAATTTTTCCAACACTATTTATTAAAGAGGCTATCTCTCCTCCAGTGAAGATGGTTGGCTCCTTTGTCAAAGATGAGGTGGCTAAGTATGTCTGGAGTTGTTTCTGCATCTTCTAATCTATTCCACTGAACTTTGGTGGGTTTCTTTGCCAGTACCATGCTGTTTTTATCACAGTGGGTTTGTAGTATAGTTTCAGGTTGGGGATTGTGAGACTCCCTGTCAATGTTCTTGTTGCCTAGAATTGCTTTTTTTAGTTTTTTTTTTTTTTTTTTTTTGGTATCAGTGATCAAACTTGGGTCCTTGAGCTTCTAGAATTGCTTTTACTATTCTTGGTCTCTTCTTGTTGAATTTTTGGATTGTATTCTCTACCTCTGTGAGATATACTATTGGGATTTCAATTGGAATTGCATTGAATATATATAGCAGTTTTGGAAGTTTGGCCATTTTCACTATATTGGTTCTCCCTACCCAGGAACATTTTTCTGATATCCTCTTCAATCTCTTTTTTCAGAGTGCTGTAGTTTTCAATGTAGAGGTCTTTTGCTTCCTTTGTTAGATTGATTCCTAGATATTTCATTATTTTTGGATGCTACTGTGAAAGGAATTATTTCCCTAATTTCTCTCTCAGTGAGTCTGTTGTTTGTGTACAAGAAGGCTATTGATTTGTGACTTGACCTTGTATCCAGATACTCTACTGAATCTGCCTATTCAGTTTAAAAGTCTTTTGGTGATGTTTTTTGGGACTTCTATGTAGAGTATCATGTCATGAGCAAATAATGACCTTTTAACTTCTTCCTTTCCTATCTTTATTCCTTTTATTTCTTTCTCTT